AAACCACCAGCAGCACGATGCAAGTCTGTTGTGGGGAAGTAGAAGAAGCTACCGATCTGGTCCTTGACTTGGAAGCGGTAGGTGAAGTTTGTACCGGGCATGATCGGGCACATGGTTCCTGGGGTACCATCTTGCCACGAGTTCTTCCTTTGTTGGACACCGTTCCAGGTCAAGAGCAAGGGCTCATCTAGATTGTTGAAGACATTGACAACTATGTTGTTATTAGAGGTGCAGTTGATCCTGGGCCCTGGAAGTTGCCCGTTTATGAGGATGCCCTGTAGTGGCACACCCAATGGAGCAATTGTCCCGTAGGTGACATTCCACTCAAAGAAGAGGTAAGGGTCCTCAGCTTTCACCACCACAACAGAGAGGCAAACTAGCAAAGCAACAACTATCAAACTAGTTCTCTCCATGTTCCCTTATCCCTAATCTCACACCTTTTTCTTTTCTTTTCTTTTTTTGGAAATTTTATTTTGATTTTTTTGGGGGGGAATTTCTTTTTATTCTGACAAAGAAGAAGAGGGAATATTTCCTTGTTCTTCTTCCTTGTTTTAGTTGCTAGAGCTTGCATATTGTACATTCTCCTTGACGCCTTTTATACAAGTGATTTCCATCTTGGGACCATTCATTCAATTAACTACCGCGATGATCTCTGTGGCTCTCCTTATATTCTTGACTCCATTTTCGCGTTCCCTCTTGTTCGTTTACTAATACCTTATTTCTCCTTGCATTTCTCCCCTTAATTCTTTTCCTTCATATTAGTTCTTATTCTAATGTTGACTTATTCTTCTCGAAAGTTTTGCAAAATGAGTGGTACAATTCTCGTCTCGTTGCAATAGAAGTGATAGAATTAGTTACCACTCTTCTTTTTTTAAAGAAAAAGAACGTTTTCCAGTCTTTTTCTTTCTTCTGTTCCTATATGGAAGTATGAATAAATGTTTGAGTAAATTTTATGGATGGTCATTCAACTTTGTGTTCATTACGTAAAAGTCACTTTTTTCTTTTTGTTACATAAAAATCATTATACTTTGTGTTCATTATCTAAAAGTCACTTTTCTTTTCTTTTTGTTACACAAAAATTATTTTACTTTGCTATGTTTATCACAAAAGTCATCTTGACCAGATTTTATAATACTTTTACTTGAAAAGTCTATTATGCCCTTGACATTATATATCCTCTCATTTATGTAATGCCTTCTATATTATATACTGTATAATATATTTTTAACTAGGTATTTTACTTATAATTAAAATAACTTTAAATTTATTTTATTTATTATTTTTATAATATATCCATACATTTAATTCTTTTCACGACACTCAATTTGTTTAATCATAGCTAAACATGAGCATATTTTAAATATAAAAATCATAAAAAATATTTATTCTAAATATTTATTTGAAATAATAACAAACAGATTTGTTTAACAAATGATAATTTTTTTTATAGTCAATACAAATTTTTTTAAAAAAATCAAAGATAATTGTATTTAATATTAAGATTTTTAAAGCTTTATCTGTTAATATTATTTATTTGAAAGTGTTAATCTGATGTGTCATTGTGCTAAATATGGGTATTATATTTATTGGATTAATAAGTATAGCTTGGCTGATCATTAAAAATATTTCATTAAATATGGTTAAGAACGTGGACTTGAGATTTGTTCATGGTAATATTTACTAAATTATTTAATAATGCTACTTATATACCTTTAAAATTACCGTTAAGAAAAAATTAAATGTACGAATATATTATAAAAGAAATAAGTAAAATAGTATCATGTTGTTTTAATTATAAGTAAAATACTTGGGTAAAAGTATATTATATAGCATATAATATATAAGGTATTAAATAAATCGGATGATTTATAATATCAAGGGCGTAATAGACTTTTCAAGTGAAAGATTTGTAAAATCTTGTCAAAGTGATTATTGTGATAACTAGAGTATAGACAAATGATCTTTGTGTAACAAAAGAAAGAAAAGTATTTTTTGGGTAAAGAACATAAAGTTGAATGACTTTTATGTAACAAAAGAAAGAAAAGTGACTTTTGGTAATGAACACAAAGTTGAGTGACCACCCATAAAATTTACTCTAAATGTTTTCCTTCTTAAAAAAAAGACAATCAGTAAAGACTAAATATTGGCATATGAAAATCCTAAACCAAACTCGCGCCTCTTGAGAGCTCTGGCAATAGGCGATTTGCGACGACTGGGAGTCGAAGCTCGAGCAGGCCTCTCATGGTGTCTCCAGGCACAGGCCAGTCTCCCTTTGAGGCTGATCAGTCATCGTCTCCAACCCCACAGCCCCAAACAACTCCTAACAACCCTAATCCAATCCCTAACTACGCACAGTTATTACAACACAAGACAATTAATGCGCCCATGCAAACACTAGCTAAACTTCCCATAAAACCTGTCGAGTTGCTTCATGGTGAGCCAGTGGTGAAGTGGAAGAAGCAAGAGGTTAAACAATCCATCGTACAACAAGGTCTTCAATTAGCAGTTCTTGGAAAATTTTCCTATGGGAAGCCTGTCATCAGTGAATTACGCAAAGTGATTCCCATTCAATGTGAGATTAAATGAGCATGTTCGATTGGCTTAATAGAAGACAATCATGTATTGATAAGGTTGTTGTTAATGGAAGACTATGTTCATCTTCTTTGAAATCCATCTTTTTACCTAAAAACTCAAGCTGAGATGTGGCAGATGCGATGCACGAAGTAAAACCTTTGGTGGACACCTGATGAGGAGGCTCCCATTGCAGTAGCTTGGATTAGTTTTTCGGAGTTGCCACCCAATTTCTTTGGTAAGGAATGTGTATTTTTATTGGCTAGTGTTGTTGGTAATCCTTTACATGTTGATCTTGCAATACAAAATGGTACTAGACCTAGCTGTGCAAAAGTGAATGTGGAGGTTAACTTACTATCTAAATTTCCACAACATATTAAAATAGTTGAAGAAGGGGATGAATCTAGGCCAGAATAATTTAAATGGATTAAAATAAAATATGATTGCATGCCTAAGTATTGCAAGACTTGCAAGAAACAAGGTCATAATGAAGTGGAATGTTGGGTAATTCACCCAGAATTACATAGGAGATTTGATGAAGTTGCTGAGAATATTAACACTAAAAAAGATATAGTAGGTACTACAGCTAACACTTCTAAGGTGTTGTCTAGTTGCAAAGTATTAGGAAAGCCTATTCCTAATCCGGCAAACCAAGAATGGATGCAAAGGAGAAAGAATAGATATCAAATAGATAAGAATAGGCACATTATTGATGTTGCCAATGACAAGGAGGGTGATAAATTGAAAGGGAAGGCCAAGGAGGATGTAGAAGCAATCAAGAACTCTTTTGATGTACTGGAAGTTGAAGAATCAGACCAGGCTGTTTTGAGGATCATTGATGGCAAGGAAATTAAAGGTGCAACTGGAAAGAAGAAGCTGAATCAACTGGGGAATAATCAAAATCCAGTGCAAAAGAATAAGAAAATTTCAATTGTTAAGCAAGGAGAAATTAAAGAACAAAAACGTGTGAAGCAAGAAGCAGTTGAAAAAGTGCTGGATTCTGAGAAAACCAAGTCAAATATGGAGAAGAATGTGAATCCTACACCTACTAGGATTGCCAAACCTATGGGGAATGGGATTCAAAGTGTCGCTAAGGATAATGTTCCTAATCCTCCTAATGATGGGATTGAGGAGGCTAATATGAGGGAGTCGACATTGGAGTGGGTGCATAGGCATTTTGGTACTAACAAGGAAGAGCTTAGACAACTCAATATTCCTGTGAACCATTCCTGGCAGGATATTCCATCTCAAACTCTTGAGGAATCAAATAAGAATAGGGAGATTCAGGAGGTTAACTCGGGGAAACCATTATGGAGTGATGGGGTGGAAATTATAGAGGAACAAACAGATACAAAAACAACATCAGGAAAGGAGGAAAGCATAGGCAATAGCCAAGAACAAGCAGTAGGTGTAAAAAGCTTCAATGCTACAGTAAACCCTAGTTTACTGGAAACTATGGTTGATGATTCTCAACAACCAAACACTCAAAAAAGTAATTTGCCAACTGGAGGAGATTTAGAAGAACCCAAGGAACGTAATTCAAATAGAAAGTCAACTGACGAAGCTCTAGCTAAGAGACAGGCCAATGTAATAGTAAACCCTAAGGGAGCTGTGGAGGTTTTGGCTACTGTTGAGGGTGATCCGGTGGAAATTTCAGGTGATAATCAATTGGAGAATGTTCCTACAAAGGTCCTAGATGATACAGTGAGGTCAAATCAAAAACCAGTTGATGGGAAGCTAGTTGATCTCAATGGAATAGTAATTCATGCACTGTCTGCTACTGTAAACCCTAATTTGAGTTCAGCTTCAATTTAAGGTGATGCAGGAGAATATGGGAGTCATGGAGAAGAATTCTGAGGCACTAAGGAAGGCATCAATGAATGATACACATGGAATTGAACATGCTATAGTTTTGAAGAACACTTGAGCTATTAAAGCATTGCCAATGGCATGTGCTTCAGGTACTGGGGAGCTAATGCAGATTCAAATTAATGTACCATTGCAGCTACCTAATCAAATAATTCATGATATAATCACACACAATATGATTCCAGTTGATATTCAAAATGTAATGGTGGAGCAAAGGCAGTTTGAAGATGAAGGTGATGATGAATCAACAGCAGGTAATTTCAAAGATGTAGCTAAGGAGGCTGATTTATCACATAGGTTTAATGAAAAGAGTGGTAAGAAGGGGAGGAAGCAAGCACAGAACAAAGAGCCACTTCAACCTAAAAGAATTTTGCCCAAGAGGGCAGCCTCAACTACTAAATGATAATTAAAACCTTGATCTGGAATATAAGGTCTGTGAGAACCCAGCAGGCCTTTCAGAGGGTGATTAATATGCATAGGGAGTATGGTTTCTTCATTGTTTCTCTTATGGAACCATTTCGAAAGCTGGACATATTCAGAGGTATAAGAGAAGGTTAGGAATGGATGTTGCTTATTCAAATATTAATGGGAAAATCTGGCTATTCTTTGATAGTGTTGTGGAGTGGGAATTATTGATTGATGTTGAGCAGCAGGTGACTATCAAGGTCTATCATCAAGTTATTGGTAAGTATATTATGATGACTTTTGTTTATTCTAAATGCTCATCACTTGAGAGGTTGGAATTATGGGACAGCTTGTACTATCTTGCTAGTGACATGGAGTTACCTTGGTTGGTTAGGGGAGACTTCAATGTGGTGTTAAGTGAAGAAGAAAAGTTAGGTGGCCTTCCAATGTATCCTCCAGAATATGAGAACTTTGCATTTTGTGTGAACTCATGTGGTTTGTTTGATCTTGGTTATAAAGGAAGTCCTTTTACATGGTGGAATAGGAGACCTAATGCACAGTGTATTTTTAAGAGGTTGGACATGATCTTTGTCAATCTACCTTTCCAAAATCTTTTTTCTGATATTGATGTAGAACACCTTATAAGAACAGGCTCAGATCATGCACATCTGTTGATGAGTTGTGGAGATAATGCAAGGCAGTTTATGAAGCCTTTCAAATTTCTCAACTTTTGGTCAAAGCATGACACTTTTAAGGAGGTTATTAGATAGAATTAGGTGGATGATTTTATCGGGGATCCTTTCCTGATGTTCAAGAAGAAATTGAATAGGGTAAAGATAGCATTATCCAAATAGAGTAAATTGACATATGGTGACATATTCAAGAAGGTGGCTATTAGGGAAGATGTAGTGAGAATTAAGGAGATGTTGTTTGAGGAAGAACCAACCATAGAGAATAGAATTGTTCTTCAAAAGGCACAGGCAGAACTGAAGAAATACTTGAGCATTGAGGAACAATACTGGAAGCAAAAAGCAGGCATGACATGGTTTGCAGAAAGTGATAGAAATACTAGATTTTTCCACAACCATCTCAATGGCAAGAGGCAAAAACTACAATTGAAAAGGATCCAGGATGGTGTTGGAGGATGGATTGAATCACAGGAATTAATGGCCAATGCAACAGTGGAATTCTTTCAAAATCAGTTCACTCGGGAGAATGATCTTAATAGCTTTGAGTTGTTATATAATGTTCCTTCAATGGTGACATTGGAGAAACATTTGGAGCTATGTAGGATGCCAACTATTGAAGAGGCTAAAGGGGATGTCTTTGCTTTAAATGGTGATAGTGCAAGTGGACCTGATGGTTTCACTGGGATCTTCTACCAGGAGTGCTGGGATATCATAGGATAAGACATATACAGAATGCTGCAGGTCTTCTATGGAGGTGCTTCATTGCCTAAATCAATTACACATACCAACCTTGTATTGCTGCCTAAGAAGCCAGTGGTGAACACATTCTCAGACTTAAGGCCCATAAGTCTAAGCAATTTTATAAATAAAGTGATCTCAAGGGTGCTACATGATAGATTGGAAAAGATACTTCCTTCCTTGATCTCTTCTAATCAATCTGGATTTGTAAAGGGGAGAAGCATCTTTGAGAATATTCTATTGACACAGGAGATTGTCACTAATATTAGGTTGAGGGGAAAGCCTGCAAATTTGATGATCAAACAAGATATGGCTAAGGCTTATGATAGGGTTTCATAGAAGTATCTATTACACGTTCTGAGGAAGATAGGATTTGCTGAAAACATCATCAATATGATATGGAATTTGCTCTCAAAAAACTAGTAATCAGTACTAGTTAATGGTCAAGCTTCATGTTTCTTTAAGTCTACAAGAGGGGTCAAGCAAGGTGACCCTTTATCTCCAGCATTATTCATTCTATCAGCTGAGGTGCTATCATGATCATTGAATAAACTGTTTGAGGATAAAAGGTTCAAAGGATTTGGAATGCCAAAGTGGACAGACCCTTTGAATCACTTGGCTTATGCTGATGACACAATCATATTTGCTTTTGCTGTTCCTTACTCTCTGGGAAAGATAGTTGAGGTGTTTACTCAGTATGAGAAAACTTCTGGGCAGCTGATCAACAAGTCTAAAAGCTCTTACTATATGCATGCCAATGTGGCAGGATCCCTCTCTTCTTCTATGGGCGCAATTACAGGTTTCCAAAAAGGTGAGTTTCCATTTATTTACCTAGGTTTTCATATTTTCTATACAAGGAGGAGGAAGGATTATTACAATGATGTTATTAAGAAGGTAAAAGCAAAATTGCATTCCTGGAAAGGAAAGTTGTTGTCTTTTGGTGGCAAGGCAACACTTATATCTAGTGTACTGCAAAACATGCCAACTCATATCCTCTTAGTATTAGATCCTCCTGATAATGTATTGGAACATTTGCACAAGACTTTTGCTAGATTTTTCTGGTGTAATAAAGAGGAAGGAAGAAGCAGACACTGGTCCAAATGGCTTAATTTGTGTTTGCCAAAGGAAGAAAGGGGACTTGGTTTTAGATCACTCCTTGATGTATCTAAAGCTTTGTTTGCCAAGTTGTGGTAGAAGTTTAGAACATCAAAGTTATTATGGAAAAAATTTATGTGGAATGAGTACTGTAAAAAGGAAATACCTACTGTGGTACAATTTAAAGGAAATACCTAAAGTGGAATGCAAAATGTTGTCCTAAACTCAGGCCACTATTTCAAGCAGCTCCAGCTGTGATCACATGGGAGCTTTGGAAGAGGAGAAACATTATGAAGAATGGGGGCACAATATCTTGCAACAGGGTGATTCATGAGGTGAATAATACATTGCATTACCTAGCTAGAGTGAGGTATTCATGGCTCTCAAGCATTTCATTACTATGGCCAGACATGATCAGATATTTTGAAGGATACAAACCATTTGTGATAACCAAAAGAGTAATATGGCAGCTTCCTTATGAGGGTTAGTTCAAGTGTAATACTGATGGTGCATCAAGAGGTAACCCTGGTCCTAGCTCTTATAGATTTTGTGTACGTGATTGTGAGGGTGACTTGATGTTTGCCAAGGTAGTAGAGATAGGGAAAACTACTAACATTGTGGCAGAAGCTAAGGCAATAATAGCAGGCTTGATGTATTGTATTGAAAAGCAGTTGCACCCTCTTATTCTGGAGACTGATTCATTGGTATGAAGAGGATAATTGAGGGTGAATGGGAATCTCATTGGTGTATAGGGGGGAGAAGTGAAGAAGATTAAGGAGATCAAGAGCACTTTCAATGTGCTCGTTTAGCATGTGCTAAGGGAGGGCAATGTTGTGGCTGACTTTTTAGCTAACCTAGTTTTTTCTTTTGCAGGTACAATCACTTTTAACTCATATCATGAATTACCTTCTGCAGGAAAGAATGTTGCTAGATTGCTTCCTAGTGGTATTAGCATGTTACCATGCTTATTTTGGGGGCAGTTTAGCAGCATTCAGAAATGGTAAGGCAAACAGGTACATTATAGCATTTTACATAAGCTTACAAGGTGTTACACTATGGATTCTTAAGGATTGGGACATATTGATATATGAGGATTTGTCTACATACTGGATATTGTTTGTTATTGAAGTTGGACAGTGCATAGCTACACTGGACAGTGTCATGAATCACCAGTTGATGCTTCTACTATCCCTTTCATGTTATGTATTGTTTCATCAGTTTTCAGTGGTATTAGTGTGCCATCACACTCAACCTGGAGCTGAAAGGACAGTATGCAAAATCTATTCGATAGGCAAGCAGTTGGTTATACATAATGGAACATATGCAGCTACTGATGACTTCTTATGTTGGAAATGGAGTTCATATGGAAAGAGATCATGTTGGAACAACATATTTTCTTGGGAGTTCTGGATTGCTTCAAAACAGTGGTGTAATTATCTGGAATCCACATTAGCCTTGTCGATTGAAATCTTGTTCAATGGAATGCATACTATGGCGCATGATGAGAGCATTAGAGGTGCTACTTGGTCTTTACCCTTGGCTTTTGGATTCACTTACACTACTTGGATTTGGAAGCATATATTCTTCTACTTTGTAATAGCTAGCTCATTAGACTTAGTTTTCTTATTCATAGTCGTAGCTAGTAGTATATTGCTTCTTTTATATTGGTTAGGACATCTTGTAAGTTTTGGACCCAAGTATTGGAAATTTTATATATATATATATATATATATATATATATATATATATAAATATATATATATATATATATATATATATTAGCCGCTAGGCAAACTGCCTAGTGGTATATTTGCTAAAAAAAATATTGGCATATTACTTCCCTTTTATAACCCAAAAACACGAAACAATACTATTGTACATGGTAATATATTCATTTATATTCCTATAGTGGGGATGGATAAAACTTATCCACACCGGGTGTTTACACCTAATGTAGTTAAGTTAACCATAGAACACAATATAAGGTCTATTAGGAGTCTTATTTTAAATAAATAAAAAATAAAAAATAGAATTAAGTCATACTAACATAAATTAAAAAGAATCAGTGTTGCCATCAGTTTTTTAGTTCTCATTTCTTTTATTCATGTCTTCTTATGGCGTTCTTTTATTTCCGATCCGATCTACTTCTAAAGTTTTGCGTCATCAAGAGGAGTATGCTAAAGTAAATACTGAAACAATATAACTGTGCAAAGCAAAGTTCTATTTCGTAAAGTTTTTTCATTTGTTAATCTTCATATGTGTTCCACTGAGAGTATGCTAAAGTAAATGCTTCTTTGTTAAGTTTAAAATGTTTAATATATTTTTCAAAGTTAAAATATATATATATAAATAATGATAATTACCCTAGTAGAAGAAAAATTAATTTGTGTATTTGTAGAGGCAGTGATGACACAGAAAGTGAACAAGAAATTAATGACATCATTCATTAACGTTATAGATCTAGACCGGAGCTTTGCAAGACTCTATTAAGTATTTTTAATATTATTATTTAAGATGATATGAAAAATACATGATAATTAACTATGATTAAAGACTAATACTTGTAGTTAAATAATGTGACATGTGTTATTAGTTTATTGGATGGGTGTAAATACCTGGTGCGGGTAAATATTTACCGTGGGGATGTACTAAACAAATCATTACGAATACAATTTTTCCGTTCATTTGTTTAATGTAGTATAGTTCTATTTATTGTAGTATAGTTCTATGAACTAACTATGGAAAAGGTCCAAATATACACTTATACTATGAGAAACGATTGAAATATACCTTTCATTATACTTTGGGTCCAACTATACCCCTGTCGTAATACTTATTGGTTCATATATACCCCTCTTCCATTAAGTTTGTCCAAGGTGGACATCTAATCCTACGTAGCACTGATATTTGATGAGGTGGATGCCACGTAGCATGCTATCCCAGCGCCCCTAACCCATTAAACCCCTCTCCTCTATTTGTTTTTCTACCACTAAAATTTATTATTTTTCCACCACTAAAATTTTCTTCTCCTCCACCACCATTGCCACTATAACCGATACCATGAACTATATTGAATTTTCAGCTAGTCAACTCAGACCAAATCGAAGTATCTTAACAGTATGAGACTGAATGCTGCCCATTTGTAAATGCTTTGAGCACCTGGGTCTGCAAGAAAATACTTCAATCCTCACCCCAATATCACGCACTCTAGTAATACATAAATAGATTATCTAGTTTCTCGAGGAAGAGAACTTCACCTGGAATACGAAAACCTTCGGATTGCATTGAATTCAATGCGAGCGATGAGTGGAGAAACAAACATATATAAAAGACTAAACTTAAAAATATAATATTGTTCATGGCGGTAATGGTGGCAATGGTGGTGGAGGGGAGGAAAATTTTATAAATGGTGAAAAGAAATAGAAGGGAGGGATAAAATGGGTTAAGTGGCATGTCACGTAGCATTCACCTCATCAAATGTAAGTGTCATGTAGGATTGGATATCCACTTTGACAAACTTAACGAAAAAGGGGTATATTTGAACCAATAATATAACAACAGGGGTATATTTGAAACCAAAATATTACGACGGGTATATTTAAACCAAAATATTTATAACAACGTGATAGAGCATATAATCATACGACTACAAAAGTATGAGTGGTCATTTGGTTTAAGGTATAGGGGAAAAACTCCCGGTATAAGATTCCGCTTAATTGACTATACAGTGTCTGGTGTGTAACATATAAAATTTTATATTACTAATTTAATCTTTGCATAACTAACGTAACATTTGATTTTCAGTATAACTAATGTGATTTCTGGTATTACATTCTCTGTATCTAATTGACATAACTTATGTGAGGATCTAGTTATTATTTTGTCCAACAAAGCTTGTTGATCAGAACACACTATCGCAAATAATTAATATAAAAAAAATTCTATTGGCATCGTTTATTGAATTAGTAACTATTAGGAGGTAATGAACAACCATTCTGTTCTCCTGATCAAAACTTGACATGTCTTTATTACAAAAATAACTGTGAGCATTAAACAAATAGTATCTGAAATAGTTATAAATATTAATTTACTGATTTTGCTAATTTAGTTAGACAAGATACATATATATAGTGGGAAACATTCTATAGGCTAAATTAGGACCCTCATGCAGATTCTGGACCAGCTCTTTCTTGCTCTAGTGTTTAGCTTTTCAATGAGCAAAATAGAGAAGTTTAATATAAGGGGACAGGGCAAATTTACCCTTGTACTTTGATATATTATTCACATCTATCCTTCGTTATAGTACCGGAACACATCTACCCTTGCTTTTACCAAACTTTATAAAAATACTCTCAATCTAACAAAAACCACCTGACTAAAAAATGACCCTTTTTTTATTTTTAAAAAACCCTTTAACCCATAACCATGATCCGTTAACCCGTTAATTAAACAAGTGACTGAGTGAATTGGTGATCGAATACTAAGGTAAACGCTGTCACTTTTGCTTAGCTTATTACCAAGTCATGCAATATACTTATTCTGTGAAATTCTCAGCAAGATTCGTTCATAACTAGGCTCAGATATCTGACTTGTCGAAAAAGAATAGAAAACAAGCAATCAAATATTCTGCACCGAAGTGGGGTTAGTCTAATTTTTGATAACCATTTCTGGAACTCACTGGTTAAGCCTTTCCAGTCAACCACCAACAGATCAATTTGAAAAACTGAAGCTTACCACTTTCCAGTTTCCTCTTACTTTCTCATTTTTGTTCTGTGTCCACTATTCTTAAGGTTGATGTCAACTAGAAGATAGCAGGAAATTGCTTATGCTGCTCTAACTTTGGTTATGCAGAGCTTAGAGCAATTTCTCAAATACAATGTTTATTTGATTTCTAGCAGAAAGACAGATCGAATCAATGCATAAAAGTGTTAGTTCTTTGCAAGATTTCGTAGGGAAACACAGAGGTAATGAGTACCAAGGAAATGACCAATTTGTGAGGAAGAACTACACGGGTTTGACGGATTATGGATTTTTTTTAATAAAAAAAGGTCATTTTTTAATGTGGTGGTTTTATGTTAGATTGAGGATATTTTTATAAAGTTTGGTAACAGCGATGGTAGATGTGTCCCTTAGTATAACAGGATAGATGCGAACAATATAATAAAATAGAAGGATAATTTTGACCCTTTGCCTTAATATAATATAGTAATACAAATCACAATTCTCTAGATTCTGTGCATCTAGTTTTTTAGCCTAGCTAGAAATCCAAGACCTGGATCTGGAATTAGAGAAAAAGGATGAATATATCTGACACAAGGGCCAAAATTGTCCTTCTATTATACGAAATAAATAATTATACCCTCCTTTAAAAGTTGGTAGCATAAATGCACCAGTCATAACCATTTAGGCATATTTTTGCCTTCCTACTAACAGACTCAATTTTAAATTTTTTTAAATTCCAAATATAATTTTATCCCATTTTTAAATGACACCTGAAATTAATATATAGCCCCTTTTTTTCAAGATCCCACCACTCCTCTACCCTGATTTTTATACCCCATCCAACCCCCTTTTTTTACTCCTCCTCTTTCTTCTTACTCTAAATATTCTTATTTTTCCTAAAGCCACCTTTCATTATAGTATTAGCTTTTTCATTTTTAATCGACCTTTATAATTGACTGATCTAGTATAAAATACCAGTTAACTAGTAGCATTGGCAGAACGATCGGATCGGCTGAACTCTTTAAAGATTTCTTACAAAAATGATTCTTTAATGACTTTTAGTTGGTCTTCTTTTTTTACTGAATTAACCAGACTAAAGACGAGCCAAGAGTTACCATACCAGACTAAAGACGAGCATGTCCATCTCAGTTGCTACAACTGTATCTTTAGTGGAGTTTTTTTCTGTGAAGTAGTCTTTTTCCGCATTACCTTCTCCACATTTGAGCTTGCACTTCTATGATCCATGCGGTTGGCAACATGATATCTGTTAGAATAGCCAAAGAATTCTCGTTGTTGTTAAATGGTCATGCTAGGATGGTTTGTACCTCCATTGAAGTATGGATTCTCTTCATCCAACAGGATTCTACGTTGATGATCCATCCTATGAAGGGTTTGCTGATATTACTTTTTTGTTTCTTTTCTCTAGTGGAAAACAACAAGGAAGAGAGAAATTTTGTATAGAAAATTTTTTAATGGGGCCTTTGCGGAGGTCTGGTGAGGTTCTCTAATGGAAATTGAAAAGAGATGAAGGAAAAAGAGAACAAAAAAAAATTAAAAAGGGGGTTGGTGGGATATAAACGTAAGGGAGGGGTCTTGTAAAAGAAAGAGAGGAATAAGTGTGACATATGATATTTTAAATAAGATTTTAGAAAAGATTAAAATCTCAAAATTGGGTCTGTTAGTGGAAATGGGCAAAATGTGCCCAAATGGTGACATTTATGCTACCAACTTTTAACGGAGGGTATAATTGTTCCATATCTGATAATCCTAATGGTCATGGTTTTAGCTGGTTAGTAAATTTTAAATCAACTAATCATCCCCATTAAAACATTGGATGGATGCCTATGTCGTATGTACAAGACCAAATTAAGAGCATGTAATACGTGATGAAGTTTGGAGAACAAAATGGATTGGATCTGTAGGTTTCAAATTGAATCTTTTCATATTCAGAATGCGAATCTTATAATTACAAGGGATTGACCATAGTGTAATACAATTGAGATAAACAATAAATAATCAGATAGTAATTTGATATCTCTAACTCACCTTATAAACAAAATCCAAAACGGGAGCATAGTTTGTTGCAGATCCATACCTTTTGCCTTATATGTGCATGGATCTCAAAGTAAGCTACCCGAAATCCGAATGTTGGGCTATTGGCAATTCAGTTTCAGTTTACAGACATGCTGCTGCCTCTATTTCTTGTTGAAGCCAAACAGGGACTTAATCGCATTGATGGCATTCTCGTTAATGAAAGATTCATCGAACTTCTTCATGAGAGACTCAAAATCCGCAGACGTCCTTAGATTGGCAAGATCAGGGTCTGTCCTGATTCTCTGTTAACAAGCAGCATTTGAAAATTTTTAATCAGGTACTACACCGTACAATTTCCTGCAAACTTTTTGCATGTCTCTTTTTCTCATGTACCTTAAAATCTTCAAATCCTGCATCCATTGCATCCTCCAAGGCAGATAACCCTGCTTGAAGCTATCATAGGAGGTAAAGACTAAAGAGAGTCATTTCAAGAACCAAGATCCAGTTTATAAGAGCAATTTATTATCAAAACGAATTCATGGTCAGTTAAAAGCTCAGCCTACTCAAACAAAATATGCAGGCAGCATTTTAAAATTCGAGAAAGGTCAGCTTCCAATCAAAATGGTGGGTACTACTGAATAAAATTAGCCAAAGGTTTGCAGGTGAATGTAAACCTAATAATAGAAATACGATTTTGTTGAAAGTACTAATACTTACCTGATTAAGCTTGGAATAACAACAGGCAACATTGTAACTTGCCACAGCAGCTTCATTTCCAGTTGGTCTTGATCCTAACACAGACTCAAATTTTTCTAGTGCTTCTTCATATTTGCCATTCCTTTTACCAGTCAATACAAAGAAGAAAAATCAAAACGTTATATGCATGGCATTAATATTACTATCCCAACACCTGCATATGTAATGCATACAGGAAGCCAACAATCCAGAAATATGAACCTTTTTTACATGATTGACTATAAGCCAGTGCTAGCATGAGAAACAACAACAACAACAACAACAACAACAACAACAACAACAACAACAACAACAACAACAACAAACTCAGTGGAATCCCACAAGTGGGGTCTAGGGAGGGTAGTGTGTACGCAAACCTTACCCCTACCTTGAGAAGGTAGAGAGGTTGTTTCCGGTAGACCCTCAGATCAAAGAAATATATGTTCTTGACAATTTTGAAAATACCCATATGGTAGGTATGTAAAAGATTGGAGAGTACAGAACCAATCAAATGATTGCTTCAGCCTTACTTAGAGAGTTGCAGTCCTTCACGAAGATCCTTTTCTCTTTGCTCCTTTTGCTCTTTCTTCCTCCGAGCATTTGTCAACTGAGAACATCAGAGTTTGAGGCATCACATGCAAAGGCAAGGCAAATGTCTAAATAGTAATTTCGGTGTAATCGTGTATACGTGGAATTTGAAACTTCTTTACTCACTTGAATCTCCCTAACTCTATCACTAATGAAACCAGCATTCCTTTCTGCTCTGATAATTTCCTTTTCTGTCAATTCACCTGCTTCTTCCACCTTCCCTGAGAAATAATGGTGGACGGTATAAAAAGGCTAAGGAAAGCGATTTATATGAGTATGAGGTGAGAGGGATATAGCTAACATATAAAGGAATAATCAGCACGAAACCAAGTGAAGCAGTGCTGGCTTAGATCAGTTCAATCAACTAACCATATCTCTTTTGCATCTTCATGAGCAAAGGTCCAATTCTCTGTCTGATAGTGTACATTGTTCTTCCATATTCAGCAGCGGGCCATATTTCTTCTCCAAACACTGCACTGAACAGATTTTGACATTGTTTCAATCACATTCTTTGGCATGCTATTTTGTGCATGCATAAATACCATCAAATGTACAAAAAACCGCACGTGAAACACAGATTAAGCCACATCCACAGTAACATAACGCATTATGAAAGTTTCCTCGGCAGCCCAGTTTTTAACTTTTTATAACACAGAAATGCTAAAAATTTCTATCTGCCCTATCCTTCTCCTTTTAATTTCTTTAACTCTTAGAATGACAACTCTACCTAAGGTAGTAGTTAGTTTTGACAAGTCATGGATAATGGATGGGTTACAACTTCATAGTAACTATTTTCCGACGCCACATAAAACAACTAGCAATCAGCAAAAAAACAAGTACTTTACTTTCATTAGAGAATTACAACAACAACAAGCCAGTAATTTCGCACAAGTGGGGTCGTCTGGGAGGGTACGCAGCCTTCCACGACGGAGAGACTATAGAGAGACTGTTTTGGACGAACATCGGCGGGACAACAGATGGAAAAAAAATTAAAAAAATAAATAAAGTAGTGGGCAACAAGTATGGATAACAACAAGATAAAAACGACCGAAGTCAAGAAATCAGTTAAACTCTAGTTCTTTCATTAGAGAATTAAAAAAACAAAAAGATAGAGAAAGGAAGAGAGAATACCTGGTGGCAAGGACTTTATCTCCGACAGAGAACATGCCAGTCTTGTCAGCAAAACCTCCAGGGGCAATGGCGTCAATGTAAGTACCCCCATCTCTGCCTTTGGTAAATTTCAGCCCGTAAGGCTGCACAATCTCTACTTCATACTCTTCGTACTTCTCTTCCTCCTCTTCTTTTCCCCCCTCTGCTTTTGCAGCCTGAGCTTTAACCACCAAGATTGAAGCTTTTCCCAAATGGCTACTGCAGAAACTCCTAAAAACTGGCAGATGATTCTTGACCTTAAGCAAAGAACAGGAAGATGGGTTTTGCTTGGTTTGATTGAGCTTGAGCAAAGAACAGAGTGAGGTGTAGCTGCTAGTGGTAGAAGCCATGAAAAAATGAATTTGATTTGCTTTTCAAATGCTGTTGTTTCAAAAGTGATCATTCAGGATTTCATTTTGTTGCAAAAGGATTACCATGGCTGTGACTAGTGGCTCTAGTAGCCTCTTCACTTTGATTCCAATTTGTGGTGCCACGTCGACGAATTGATGGGTTTGAGATTTTGGGCTGTCGGACTCAAATATCGGATCCGGACATTCTTGGAATCCCAGAATGTAACATAGCGTGAGCTGGCCATTTTTGGGCTATTTAATTAAAAACAAATAGCCAGCATTTATAAAGTAGTTTAAAAATAACTATGTATTTTTTAATACGAAAATAAATTAAAATAAAACTATCCTTAGTTAAAACAGAATAATTTGTCATGGAGTTCAAAGTTATGTATAGTTAAACTCTATAAGGTGGAATTCAAGCTTCTCCAAGCTAAACTCAAGAGTTTGTAACGTCTCGGCTGGTCGTTTTGAGTATCATAACCCCGTTTCCCATTTACTGCTCAATTTATATTTTATAGTTATTTTATGACTTACCGCGTTAGTTGGTTCGGGTCCGGAAGGAATTCGAAATGAAATGAAACACTTAGTCTCATAATTGAAAATTTTAAGTTAGAAAAGTTGACCGGATATGGACCTATGTGTAAACGATCTCGGATTTGAATTTTGATGATTCCAATAGCTCTGTATGGTGATTTTGGACTTAGGAGCGTGTCCGAAAAATTATTTGGAGGTCTGTGGTAGAATTAGGCTTGAAATGTCGAAAGTTTAATTTTTGAAAAGTTTGATCGGGGGGCTGACTTCTTGATATCGGGGTCGGAATCCGATTTTAAAAATTAAAATACCTTTGTTATGTCATTTATGACTTATGTGCAAAATTTGAGGACAATCGAACGTGATTTGATAGGTTCCGGAGTCATTTGTAGAAATTAGAAATTTCAAAGTTCATTAGGCTTGAATTGGGGTGTAATTCATATTTTTAGCGTTGTTTGAGGTGATTTGAGGGTTCGACTAAGTTCGTATGATGTTTTAGGACTTGTTGGTATATTTGGTTGAGATCCTGAGGGGCTCGGGTGAGTTTTGGATGGTTAACGGATCAAAAATTTGGACTTGAACAACTTGTAGGAATTTTATCATATCTGATGTTGTTTTCCTTCTACGCGATCGCGTGAATGCGTCTGCGATCGCATAGGCTTAGTTGGTCAGTGGGGGTTTTGTTCTACGTGATCGCATGGGGATATCTGCGATCGCGTAGGGTTAATTTGAGGCAGTGATATTTTGTGCTTCGCGTTCGCGTGAAACGGGACGCGATCGCGTAGCTATGTGAGTTTGTTATTCGCGAAAGTATGAAGAAGGTCGCGTTCACATAGAGGAAATGGGGCAGAAATGGAAATCACGCGTTTGTGCTTCGCGATCGCATGGTTAGGTCCGCGATCATGTAGGTCAGTGATGTTTTGCATCGCGATCGTGTGGAAAAGTCCGTGATCGCATAGAGTTAAATATGGGCGATGGAAATTGTTCTTCGCGATCGCGTGGGAATGTTCGCGATCGCGTAGAGCAAATGTCTGGGCAGAGAGTTTAAGTTCTGGAAATGGGACTTCGTCAGTTTTGACAGATTGGAGCTCGGGAAGAGGCGATTTTCGGGAGTTTTTCAAGAAAAATAATGGGGTAAGTGTTCTTAACTCAATATTGGTTAAATTACCCGAATTCATAGTTGTTTTTATCATTGAATTGATGAATTAAGTTGGAAAAATTTGAAAACCCTCTTGGTTTAATTTGGAGATTTGAGGGTCGAGTTGATGTCGGATTTGAGTAAAATTTATATTATTGTACTCGTGGTTGAATGCGCGTTCATATTTTATAACTTTTGTCGGGTTCCGAGACGTGGGAAATTAGGATTTTTATGGGAAAATTATATTTTCATATGAAATTAGTTCCAATAAATTTTATTGACTGAAACGAATTATTTGTGACTAGATTCGAGACATTCGGAGGCCGATTTGCGAGGCAAAGGCATAGCAGAGTAAAGAATTTCAAGCTTTGAGGTAAGTAATAGTTTTAAATCTGGTCCTGAGGGTATGAAACCTTGGAATTTGGTATCATGTGATTACTTTGGAGGTGACGCACATGCTAGGTGACGGGCGTGTGGGCGTGCACCGAGGGGATTGTGACTCGGTCCGTCCCGTGGAAACTGTAAAACTGAATAACTTGTTGATAGTTATGTGCTCTCTATGTGTTGTGGGAACTTGACTATAAGTCTTGCTAGAAACCATGTTTAGGCTATACGTTGGTATTGTTGGGACTCACAGAGGTCGTGTATATATTGAATTATCTGGTTAAATTGTTGTTTTGTACTCAGTCTCAGCTTACTTGATTATTTTATCTCAGTCTCTATTGTTTATTAATGATGTATCATATCATTGTTGTTTGGGCTAATTTTATAATTGTTGAGAGCCCGAGAGACTGGAGAGCTTTATGACTGAGTGAGGTCGAAGGCCTTATTATGAGATATTATACCACAGCATGTGAGTTTACCTTACGGTTCCTTATATTATACTATTGCACGTGAGTTGGTCGTGCAGCACGTGAGTTGGCCGTACGGATCCTTATATCATACTGTTGCACGTGAGTTGGCCAAGCAGCATGTGAGTTGGCCGTGCGGATCCTTATATTATACTATAGCACGTGAGTTGGTCGTGCAGCACGTGAGTTGGCCGTGCGAATCCAAATATTTATATTATGGCACGTGAGTTGTCTGTGCAGCACATGAGTTGTCCGCACAGATTATAGCGCTTGGGCTGTAGGAGCCTCTCCGGAGTTTGTACACCCCCAGTGAGCTCGGGTACCCATTGAGTGTGAGTGCTGAGTGCTGAGGGCTGAGAGCCGAGTAATTGAGTTGTTGTGACGAGTTTAGTAATTGTTGCCTGAGAGGCTGTACTTGCTTTCATTTGTTGTTACACTTAGTTCCTATCTGTCATTGTTGTAAAATTCTCTGAAAGATTTAATATCTGGATTACATGAACTTGAACTGTATAAATTGATTTGACTTAAACTGCTGGATTTGAAAGCATGTCTATTCTTTGCTGGAATTACTGAAAATGAATTATAATTGTATAACTCGTCACTATTTTTAGTTCCTTATTTATTATTGCTACTTGCTGAGTTGGTTGTACTCATACTACACCATGCACTTCGTGTGCAGATCCGGGTATTTCCGAACATAGCGGGTGTTGATTCTTTCGCAAAGTTGATATTCCGGAGATTCTGAGGTAGCTGTCGTGTTTCACAGACCTTTCATATCTTTCCCTATCTCTTTGTTTACTGTATTTGATCTCAGACTATTATAGACCGTATTTTCTAGACTTGTATTCATAATATATGCTCATGTACTCAGTGACACCAGGTTTTGGGAAGTGTTATATATGTATTTGTGAGTTTTTCTTCCGCTAAATTTAGATATTATGTTTTCAATCTTAAAGGAAATCGGGGGGTTATTGATGTTATCGGCTTGCCTAGTATTGAGATAGGCGACATCATGACAGGTCAGATTTTGGGTTATGACAAGTTGGTATCAGAGCCTAGATTACATAGGTCTCACGAGTCATGAACAGGTTTAGTAGAGTCTTGCGGATCGGTATAGAGACGTCTTACTTATCTTCAAGAGGCTGCAGAAGCCTTAGAAAAAAAAAATTCACTTTCTTGTATTCTGTCATGCGAATTTGTTGATTCCAGAAACTAAATTTTTGTTAGTCTATTCTCTCACAGATGGTGAGGACACATACTACCAGATCGGACAGTCAGCCACCAGTTAGAGCCGCGAGAGGCCGGGGCCATGGTAGAGGCCGGGGTCGTGGTAGAGGCCGGGGTCGATGTAGAGGTCGAGGTGTAGTTCGTACCATAGTTGGACTAGCACCTGTAGTACCACCAGTTGCTCCAGCTCAGGAGCAGATTCCAGATATTGCCGAGACGACAGGATCAGCTCAGGCACCAGCTATGCCCATTGAGATTTTGGGCCTTCATGAGACTTTGGCCTAGATATTGGCAGCTTGCACTGGTCTAGCTCAGGTGGTTTCGGCTCAGGCCGCACCTGCCACTTCTCAGGCTGGGGGAGGTACTCATACCCTTGTTGCCCGTACTCCAGATCAGGTAGTACAGGGACTTCAGATACCGAGGGCACTACTAGCCCAGCCGACTGCAGCTGCTCAGGCCCCGGTAGTTCCTGTTATGGTAGATGATGAGCAGAGGATACTTGAGAGATTTGAGAGGCTTCGACATCCATCTTTTAGAGGTGGGAAGTCAGAGAATGCTCAGGGTTTTTTGGATAGGTGTTAACGGATGCTCCGAACAGTGGGTATTCTGGAGACCAATGGGGTTGCATTCACTACTTTTCATTTTTTTTGGGTTGCACTCAGATGGTGGGAGACTTACGAGAGGCGTAGGCCGGTTGGCGCAGCACCCCTTACTTGGCAGTCGTTCTCCATGGTCATTTTGGAGAAGTTCGTGCCTTAGTCCCGCAAAGAAGAGCTGCGCAGACAGTTTGAACTGCTTCGCCAGGGTGATATGTCCGTGACACAGTACGAAATGAGATTTTCTGAGTTGGCTCGTCACGTAGTCTGGTTGGTTCCCACTGATAGGGAGAGGATTATGAGGTTTATTGATGGCCTCACATATCAGCTGCGGTTACTTATGACTAGGGAGAGAGTATTTGGTGCTACTTTTGATGAGGTAGTGGACATTGCTCGGCAGATAGAGATGGTTCGTATCCAGGAACGTACAGAGAGAGAGACTAAGAGGCCTCGTGGTCCAGGTGATTACAGCGGTATTCCTTTAGGGGGTCAGTTTTACCGCGGTAGGGGTTGCTCTTACAAACACGCTCAGACGGTCGTCTAGTTCATCGTGGTGCATCAGCTATCCACGGTTCTTACAGTGTTCACTCAGGCCAATCTTTATTCAGTGCACTATCAGCACAGAGTTCTCATCATGCCTAGTCCGCTCAAGCTTCTGCAGGTAATTCTTTGGGTTATCAGGAGCAGCA